AAAAAAAAAATTATACGCGAGAATCGAACCCGAGAACTCAAGCTTATGAATCAGACTCGTTACCACTCTGCCACAGGACGCTCGTATAGAAATACGTATAATTTATATATAAAGTGCTAACAAAACTTTAAGTTCGATTTTCTCCATTATATTTGAGTATTGCACTTTAGTATTTTACAGGTAGTACACTTACATCGTGTACTACCTCTACACCAAAGATCATCAAAATCCGTTACCCCAAAGCCGTAGGCTCTCCTTGTTAGTGTAAGCTGTAGTAACAACTACACAAATTATGTAATCTTATCAAGCACCATCTATGGCAAGAAATGTAAGTATTTTGGTACTGAAATTTTTATTATGCATAAAAAATCCCACATCTTTCTAAGCATTTCTGTGAAAACTGCATCATCCCACTGTAAATAGTTTGTGAGTTATTAATTTTTTAAAATTTCCGTGACTTTTGAATCACCCTGTACATGTAATATATAATTAAGTGATTTCTTCCTATTTTACTTTTTTCTTAAAACAAACTTTAGGTTAATAACAAATATTTTAATTTAGTCATCTGCAAGAGTTTTCTATGAAAAAATGAGTAACTAATTTGAAAATAAAATGAAACCTTAGAGCTGCATGCACAACATACCTATGTTAAGTAAAGACAGCTGTTAAAGCAGCATTAATTAAAACTTCTGTTGCATATATAAAAGGATTACTGAAATTAATTTTGTGCATTAATCATATCCAGCATTAAATGAGAGATACTTTTATATATACAGAAGTTTACGTGGACATTGTGATAATATATAGCATGACTAACATATCTAAGCTCATAACAACAAATTTTCAAAATAAAATGAACATATCTTTATATATAAAATTCTTCTTAAAACCTTTTATAGGAAAAATGCTTCAAACAATTTGAATATACAAATAGTTTTAGTAAATTCCTTAAATGTACTCCTCAAGTAATAAAATATAAATAAATAATCATAAATAATTTATGTGAATCCCAGACTCCCAAAAAGTACTTTTTAGTGTTTCAAAAGGTAAAACAAAGATCTTAAAATTAATGATTATAAAAGCAATATAGTTTCTTTGTGTACTTTTTATGTTATCACTTTCAGATATCTAGCAGAAGACTAAAGCAAAATTAAGAAAAATATATTTTAATAAAATAAATCAACTCTCAACTTCAATTAAAAATAAATTTAATTATGAATAAAAGCTTTATACCTAGATGGTGCATTGCTTTTAGACAGAACTGTTCTACCAGTAGTATCCATTCTTTGAATTACCAAATGATCTAAAACCATTTTCCTTTTAGCTCTTTCAATAATATCTTCTTCTACACTTCCTTTTGTTACCAAACGATATATATTAACCTGTAATATTTTGAGAAATTATGAAAAGTTAATAAAAGTTTTCATTTGAAAAATATTAATATATTAATTAATAATTTATTTTTATTATTAATTATTATTGTAAGCAAAATCAATACACACAATAAAGTTTTGTTTTATATAAATTATTTAAACTTAATAATCATAATTAATTTTAATATAAATATTTTTATTGATAAAATGAAATTTAACAATTTTAAGTTTTATATTATGCAACACAAAAATTTTATTGGTCTTAATGGCAAAGGAATAAGATATTTTCACCTGATTCTTTTGACCAATTCTATGAGCACGAGCCTGAGCTTGTAAATCATTCTGTGGATTCCAATCACTATCAAAAATTATAACTGTATCTGCAGTTGCTAAATTTATTCCTAAACCGCCTGCTCTTGTAGAAAGCAAAAAACAAAAGTCCTAAAAAAAGTAATATATTTAACATATTATAACAAAATTTAACACAAATAAATATAAAACAATTACACATATTCTTTGAAAATCAAATATTTTATTATATCTACATACATGTATATACAGGGTAGTTCATTTTAATGAATCTACTGGAATAACTTGAAAAATATGCAAAAATATTAATTACGTCAAAAATATTACTCTTTAAAGGAGTCACAAGATGGGGTTATCATTTTTATCATAAATGGCTCTACAAATCAGTGAAAACTGGGTCAACTTCATTTTCTTATATGGGAATTCCCATTTTTTAAATTGCATATTATGATTCTATATCAAAAACAAACATTTTTATTTTATTTTTTTAAAGAGATGCAATTATCGAAAGTTATGAAAGGTCAAGGGGGTGGAGAGATAAAAGGTAGTCATATGTCATATCTCAAGTGGGGTCAGACTTAATGACAATTTCACTCATTATTAGCACAGTTTTTTTTTTATAAAATTCATCTCTACCCTCAAAAATAAGCTTTTTATATTATTAATATTTTATAAATATTAATAATATAAAAACTTTTCTTTATAAAATCTCATAACAGATAAAAAATAAAACTGGGTTTGATGCTATTACAATTAATAATATAAAATTTACTTTTAAAATGAAATCTCATAACAGCTGGAAAAGCTATGCAACCCATCGCTAGATGTTTTAGTAATACATTCCACAGTATGTTTGTACATGCTGTTTGAATTCTTCAAATTATATATTCTCTAGTTGTTGGTTCTGTTTGTAGAAAAAATTCTTTAAATAAAAGTCAGTAAAAGTCAAGTCCAAAGTTCATAATTATTTTTTAAACTTATTTTCTTCCTTTTTTCAATAAACCTCACAGTTGATAACAAATGTGTGTGTGCAAGTGCTGTGATCACTGCATAAAAATTCAAATGCTCATAACTGTATCTTCTTGAAAAAAATGTTGCAGTTAAAATCTTTTTAAAATGTAGAATCATAATATGTAATAAAAAGTAGGGGTTCCCATTTAGAAAAATGAATGTAGAACCATCTTTGATGAAACTGATGGCATCATCTTGTGGCCCCTCTAAAGTCTAACATTTTTTGTTGTGAATTTTTTAAAGTTATTCCAGTCGACTGATTAAAATGAACCACTCATAATAACTGTTCTAAACCTGATCTTTCTTATTTTATTCAAAGACAATGTGTTTACATCCTTATTCAATATTGACAAATTAATTACAGAAAAAATTAATCTTTTTTCCCTTAATCAGTGACATTTTATTAAATTTCAAAAATTTAAATTATAATTTTCTAAATTTATTTTTACAAAAAAGATAAAATTTAAATAGTCATAATGTTTTCAGATATAAAATGACAATTGAGAAAGATCAAACATTTATTATATATCATGGATATAGAAACATATACAGTTAACTCAAATTTTGCAGTTTTTCAACAACAGAGTATACCTTATATTATATTATATTTTGAGACTAGAAACAGATATGTAAAATTCTGAAAAGTTACATAAAATAGCAAATTTTTGGTTGGCAATTGAAGGTTGGTCTAATTTCAAATGCCATTCTCTAAAAATTATGGTTTCATAGTTAGCCATGTATGATTCTGTATCTGTAATGCATTTCTTACAAGCATAAACATCAATTTTTTCTCTACAGACAAAAAAAAAAACTATTTGTTATTAAGACTAAGTACAAGTACAATAAAATCCTAATTATTTCATAGCAACACTGTATTGCATTTGATTTTTTACTTCTTTTCCCATTTTTTTTCTTTTCTTTTCATTACATGGATGTAAAATAATAAAAGTGAAATATTTTCTCTTGCAACTATTATATGAATCAGTAATTTCAAAATAATACAAACCGAAAAGAAAACTTACTAACAAGATTTTGTTGACAAATGAATAAAAATCCTTTATGTTAAAATTCACCCATCTGTTTCTAAAGATGTTTTTAAAGTTTTTCAGAGAGAATTTCTAAAATTCTCTTTAATAATAATTTAAAATATTCAAGAAAAATAAATATTTACATATTAAACTTAGTATTTTATATTTTATTTAGGAATAGATTAATAATCCAAACCTGAGATCCATCAGCATTAAAATGTAAAAAATTGAATTTATAATTATTAGAAACCTTATTATCTACATATAAGAATAACAAACACATAATTTATAATAATTTAGAAAAATATATAATAATTTATTACTATTAATAATTAATTAGCTAAAATTTCATATTTGTAAAAATTCCAAACAATAAATACAATATTATTGTAAAAGTTAATTTTAAAAATACAGTCAACCGCCCTATAACACTGGTTCCTCTAGTTCGGATTCCTATATCACGGCAAAAACATTGCGACAATATTTGTACAAACACTGTAAAAAAAAACTCATATAATTCGGTAAAACGTCATCATCCACTCATGTCGCGACAGGACTGGTCGAATCTAGACCAATAGCGGATATTGTACAAACCATTGAGTTTAAACGAGCAGTGGACCTACTAGAAACCATTTATTATTTAATGTCCATAAAAATTATATTAATATTAATGATGTCTCCAAAGACAGCCGTAGTCCGTAAACTGCATACGTGCCGGGCTGTGATTGGCTGGACTCGTAGAAAATGGATTCATAAAATCGGAACGTATCTACCATGTTATAGGGGGGTCGACTGTATTGACTATTAATCACAGTTTAATCAAAGAAAACCCAAATATAATTATAATAAATACTTCTGCAGAATTCTTCAATTAAATTAATTAATGTTTTATGTGTTATTTAGTATGCATCCATAATATGAAACTACTGTAGTTAATCTAATGCAGTGATTTTCAAACTTTTTTGGTCCACTGCCCCCTTTATTCTTTTGTTATACCCAATGCCCCTAACCCATTTTCTCTTGTGTGAGAAAGGATTGGAAATATTCTTAGGAAAACTTTTCTATGAATCTCACACTTTGTGCCCTTACCGTACATTGTTCTCAACATCCAGAAACCATTAAATGCAATGTTTCCTCTTATCAGTTTAACAGAGGAAAGAGAACAGTTTTCAGTGACGCCAATTTTGCCTTTGGTCACTGTTCAATACCCTGTCTCCAGCACCCCCCTACATTTACTCATCATCCACAAAAGGGCATTATTGCCAACTTTGAGAAATGCTGATCTAATGCATCTACACTAAATAAGCAAAAATGTTTGGACATTGTATGGAAATAAAATAGTATTTATTAACCACAGTAATTAGTAAGTCTGCCATTTTCAGTGATAACTGCTATCCTTCATGGTAAACTATTCATCAGTCCCTGGAATATGGGGGATTGGGAAATTTTATAATTCTATTTGCAGTAAAGTGATCAACTCTGTCTGTGAATAAGGTTAGGTTGAGCTAAACCTCACCAAATGTTCAAATTCATCCCAGAGGTTTTCTATGGGATTGAGATCTGGGTGTTGAGCAGGCCAATACATCCAGATGACACAATCTTCATACCCATCCGGTGTACTCCTAAAAGCATTAAAAATGGCAGTGCTATTCTGTAAGTAATATTCATTATGTCAGTAAAAGTGCCACAACATTAAGAGAACCAAGTTATCAAGTTATCAAGTTATCAAAGTACCTTAATACACCACAGAGTTCATATTTCTATGCAAAACAGCTAGTGGACCCACATCATATCAACTGAAACAACTTCAAAGCTTATCACTATCATCCCCAAGCTTTACAGTTGGCACGGCACGGCACACTCTGGAAGTAATTCTCCAAATAACTACCAAATCTAGACGAAGCCATCTGATCAGAAAAGCTTGAAGTACAATTCATCATTCCATACCATAATACATGCTACCATTGCTCCAATGTACAATTTCTGTATTTTTTAAACTAACGTAGCCGTAGCTGCTGGACTTCATTGTCTTGGTGATGATAAGATTTATGGACAGCTGCTCACCAAGATAGCCAAGTGCATGCATTTCTCAAAGTGTCTCGGTCAAATACTTTCACACAGTTTGTCATCTGAAACTCCTGTGCTATTGAATGCAAGAAATGATCCCTGTCTTTATACAACTCTCTCTGCAACACCCTCTAGTCTATGGATTCCAATTAACAAATGCACTTTTCAAACTTGAACAACTATCTTCTTTGAGCCATTTCACCAGTGAATGGTCTAGTTTTATTTTCATTACCATTCTTTACCACACTGAATATGAGGGTGTTGCAAGTGTCAATGCAACTGATAGGAATGCCCAATCACTTTTGTCCACATAGTGTATATAAATACATCTATGTAAAAACACGAACACACACACACACACACACACATTCTTTCTATGATATTTCTTCTCATCTCAGTGATTTCATGTTTAATTTAAAATAATAAAATTTATTTGGAATATAAATTTAATTTTTTAGATCTTAGATCTTATAACATTACTAGCTTACCCGTTGCGCATTGCTGCGATCTCAGAAGAAACGAAATTCAAGCAAACTCGTTATGATTAAATTAAATTTACATTTTATCATTTTTATTGAAACTTATTATTATTATTCGTTTTCATCAGGAAAATATTCATTTCAAAATGTTGTTTCAATTCTATTTATTTATTGGAGTGCTAGTGGATAAACGATATTTTTTGTTTTTCCGTCTGGTGCATACACAAATCAGAAGGTTTTCTGACGTGTGAGCCGGCCACATACAGTTGTCCATGCGAGAAGCACGGATTCTCCAAATTTAGCTCATACACTTGCAGTATTCTCCATTTATATATATATATATTTTTTAATCCTTTATAATTTTAATTATTTAATTGCTCCTTCCTCTCTTCCTTGGCATGTTGTGAAATTTCTGATAGTTGGATAATAAACCATTTTATTGTAATTTGTCTTTTTAAATTATATTGAGTTGATATTAAAATTTGGAAGAGGGGATCCCTAAATCGGTAAAATAGGCGAATTTCCTCCTACAACTTCGGTTGTTGTTCGGGATACAGTTAAGGTTTTAACATAGTTCGAGTGAATACGTAATTAGCAAAAAATAGTTGAAATAAACTGATTAAACAAAAATTATTACAAATATCGTAAATAACAAATGCTTATATAGAGATATTTTTTGGAGGGGGAAATGGTCTTCACAATTTGAAATCGAGTGAACACACTGTAAAGTGCTCATATACACGCACGCCATCTATCGTAGGATAAATGTACTATGCCAAAAACCTTCGTGGGAGTGTATTAAAAAACTTTCCAAAGTTTCATGGCAATCGTACTATGCCAGAAACCTTCGTGGGAGTATATTAAACAACTTCCCAAAGTTTCACGGCAATCGGATAAATGGTGTGGTAATGCATGAAGGACAGACNATAAACTGATTAAACAAAAATTATTACAAATATCGTAAATAACAAATGCTTATATAGAGATATTTTTTGGAGGGGGAAATGGTCTTCACAATTTGAAATCGAGTGAACACACTGTAAAGTGCTCATATACACGCACGCCATCTATCGTAGGATAAATGTACTATGCCAAAAACCTTCGTGGGAGTGTATTAAAAAACTTTCCAAAGTTTCATGGCAATCGTACTATGCCAGAAACCTTCGTGGGAGTATATTAAACAACTTCCCAAAGTTTCACGGCAATCGGATAAATGGTGTGGTAATGCATGAAGGACAGACACACATACATTCATTTTTATATATATAGATTACTTATCTGAATATGACTTAAATTAGTAATATATCGGATTATAGAACAATTTAGAGAAGATCAAAATGAAAAGAAATAAATTATATATCACAAATAGTATTAAAGTTTACCTGAAATGGAAAATGCCTTAATTGTAAATAATCACTGAGAATATCTAGCATTCTAACCATCTGAGAAAAAATTAAAACACGGTGCCCAGTTTCTTTTAATCGACATAATAATTTGTCAAGCAACATAAATTTTCCACTTCCTCGAAGCAATTGCTGAAAAAGAGTAATTTGAAATTAAAATTAAAAAATTGAATTTATAATTATTTTGAGAAATGCTGATCTAATGCATCTACACTAAATAAGCAAAAATGTTTGGACATTGTATGGAAATAAAATAGTATTTATTAACCACAGTAATTAGTAAGTCTGCCATTTTCAGTGATAACTGCTATCCTTCATGGTAAACTATTCATCAGTCCCTGGAATATGGGGGATTGGGAAATTTTATAATTCTATTTGCAGTAAAGTGATCAACTCTGTCTGTGAATAAGGTTAGGTTGAGCTAAACCTCACCAAATGTTCAAATTCATCCCAGAGGTTTTCTATGGGATTGAGATCTGGGTGTTGAGCAGGCCAATACATCCAGATGACACAATCTTCATACCCATNTTTTTAAATTATATTGAGTTGATATTAAAATTTGGAAGAGGGGATCCCTAAATCGGTAAAATAGGCGAATTTCCTCCTACAACTTCGGTTGTTGTTCGGGATACAGTTAAGGTTTTAACATAGTTCGAGTGAATACGTAATTAGCAAAAAATAGTTGAAATAAACTGATTAAACAAAAATTATTACAAATATCGTAAATAACAAATGCTTATATAGAGATATTTTTTGGAGGGGGAAATGGTCTTCACAATTTGAAATCGAGTGAACACACTGTAAAGTGCTCATATACACGCACGCCATCTATCGTAGGATAAATGTACTATGCCAAAAACCTTCGTGGGAGTGTATTAAAAAACTTTCCAAAGTTTCATGGCAATCGTACTATGCCAGAAACCTTCGTGGGAGTATATTAAACAACTTCCCAAAGTTTCACGGCAATCGGATAAATGGTGTGGTAATGCATGAAGGACAGACACACATACATTCATTTTTATATATATAGATTACTTATCTGAATATGACTTAAATTAGTAATATATCGGATTATAGAACAATTTAGAGAAGATCAAAATGAAAAGAAATAAATTATATATCACAAATAGTATTAAAGTTTACCTGAAATGGAAAATGCCTTAATTGTAAATAATCACTGAGAATATCTAGCATTCTAACCATCTGAGAAAAAATTAAAACACGGTGCCCAGTTTCTTTTAATCGACATAATAATTTGTCAAGCAACATAAATTTTCCACTTCCTCGAAGCAATTGCTGAAAAAGAGTAATTTGAAATTAAAATTAAAAAATTGAATTTATAATTATTAGAAACCTTATTATCTACATATAAGAATAACAAACACATAATTTATAATAATTTAGAAAAATATATAATAAAATGTATTTTTATCTATAGCAAGTATTTTTTTTAATATCTTATACAAGTAGCACCCTTAAGTTTGAATTTAATTAACATAAAAATAAACAGATACTTTATATAAAACATTGTAAAGTTCGAGTGCGCGTGTGTCTAGGGGAACTTGGACTGGCTAGAGAAGGTTTATTCAGAAAGTTATAAAAGAATAAGTTCTGAAACTCATACATGGATGTCACGATTATATATATATATTTTTTTTGATACTCACTAACCAAAAATGGAAATATGAAAAGAGAGGACCCCAAAATAAAAAGAGAAACAACTCCAGGAGGACTTCAACAGCAGTTAGTGTATGTCAACTTTCTGTCCTGAGAGTGCTTCAACTTATACTTTCTCAGCATTGGAAGTGAACCTTTCCTACAACTTTTTGACATCCCTAGCATATTTTGCTGTTTTAATATACCAAGGAATGGCCAGTTTCAGCAGTCATTGCCCATTCCTCCAACCATTTAGTACTGTGCCTTATCCAGCTCCACTGAATATGCGTACTGAATAATTCCTCACCTACTGTTATGCATTTCAAGGACGAACTATCTCCTAAGATTAAAAATTTTTCTATGGCAATCCTCAATCAGTTAAGTCAGCAAGCATGAGACCACCTTTGAGCACTATCAACCTCAGGTATTTAGCAACTTGCAATCACTTGTAAACTCTCATGATTAATTAATGACTTGTTATTATCGTCCTAAATTGTCTCGCAACTCTTGTCAGAGGTGTATAACCTTTTCTATAAATAAATATTGTATTAGTTTTATTTAACCTGTAGTAGAGTGCCTTCTTTCCATCACATCTCTAAACTTCCTCCATTCTGAACCCAACCACCTACACGTGAGACTGCACGCTTGAGGCAACAACCTAACAGCATGGTGGTTTGTGTCCTCCCAAAAGACGCAGTGGTGTTAGTCCAGACGTAGGCATCACCAATGTGGTGCTAACCTGACAGTTGTGCACACACACGTTTTTTTGTTCTTAAGTACATAAAAATGTTAATGTATTACCATTAAATAAACTAAGATATTTCTATAATCTAAAAAATAAATAGACAAAAAAAATCTTAATGTAAATAAAATACCTGCAAAGCATCACTGTTATCAAAATTTTCTGGAATTCTAACAAGCATTGCATGGTTGCAGCATTTTTTTAATTCCATCATAATGTTAACAAAGCCTGTTAAACTTCCTTTTAATCCTTTACTTAATGCTTTGTAATTTTTAGTTAAAATCCATCTATAAATTAAAAACAAAGGTTAAAATGCACTTATATATTATTTTTTAAAAAGTACAAAAAAACTTTAGTCATTTTTAAAGGAAAAAACATTAAATCTTACTTATAATATTGTTTCTGTATAGAAGTCATTTCTACTCTTAATATGCGTTCCACCTAAAAATAAAATAAAAAAATTTTTTTTCTAAACTGTAATAGAAACTGACAGCAGTTACTGTCAATAAAAATTTATAATTATTCAACATAAAATCTAAACAAAATCTTTAAAATTATTTTACTTTATTTATTATCTAATTGATTTATGTTAAAAAACATTATAAAAATATATCAAATTTATTTAGCTGTAAAATTATTCAAATATGTTTTGAAGCATTTTAGTATGATCTTAATTTTATGTTTCTGAAAAATCAATTTTTTGCAGATTTTCAACATATAGTACAGTCAACCCCTCTATAACACTGTTGATTATTCCATTTTATATGAATTCCATGTTGTACAAGTCACTTAGATTTTACAAATATGTGTGCTGGGCTATGAACGGCTTACATATTTGTAAAATCTATGTGGCTCGTACAACACGGAATTCATATAAAACAGAATAATCAACAGTGTTATGGGAGGGTTGACTGTATTGGCAACAGTGTTATGGGGGGGTTGACTGTATTGGCCTCTTCAATTGTGTAATACTTGAAAGAGAAAGACAACTCAAATCTATCCTCATTAGCCATGGTTACTCTTGGCCATGCTCTCATAATGACCTTGTGAACAATAATGGAATATTTATTTATTTTTATAATATAATTAAAAGCTATGGCAAAATCATAAACATCCATACTTAACTCCTTCATAAAGCCTCCCAGCACTCTACATAGATATTGCATTGAATTTCAACACAGAAATGAAGATGTGATTGGGCTCTTCTAGTGGGAGAATGTTCCTATAGTGGTCTGCAACAGTACCGAATCTTTGCAAGAATTTTAGTGTATTAAAGAGATATAAAGTGATATATGGTGAATTCTTCTCTTTTGTGCCTCTAAAACATTGTTCTATGAACCTACTTTCAAGTGCATATGCAATAAGGAAGTATTATGGATTCAAATTGAAAGGTTACAACTGTAACTTAAATGTGAATTGAATGCTTAGGGGTTTCTTCTAAAATTTTTAGGAATTTGCGAGGAAATCTTCTAGTATAGATTTTGCTAGAGCAAGGACTGTTCACGATGCAGGATGAATGTTTCAAACCCTGAGTGTAAACATTTAGTTCTTGACACCCTTAATCTTTTCAATGTAGTTATCATATTTGTATTTTATTCTGTTACATATAACCCATTATTTATTGTATAACTTTCATACACACTGTCGTGCCCTTCTCAACATGTGAAAAAAAAAAAAAAATTTGTCTCGTGTATTATAAGAATTCTCTTTCTATGTGAAACAACACATGTATACTTAATCTTCATCTCCTAATTGTAAACTTATAACATATATACCAACCTCTCATTGTAATACTTTATGCTATAATGCATATTACTCTTATACTTTATAAATGTAACTATAACGTTTGCAATACCTAAAACATCTGTAAACTGGCTGTGGTTACTGCGAAACCAGTCATGTAATGTTGGTTATGACATTAAAATATTTGTGTGTGTGTGTATTGGCATTAATTATAACTTTTATATGTATGTATTAGTATGTACAGTAATAATTTTCAATTATTACTGTACATACTAATACAAAAGATATCTTAAATAATTAGAATTTAAAATAAATTAAAAAATCAATTTTTGTAAATAGAAAATAAAAATCTAAACTTTCTTTTACTGTTCATTTTTTTGAAACTATTTTTCAATTACTGATTAAATTTTTATATAAATATCACAAAACAAAAAATGCTACATTCTATATAAATTAGAATCAGTTATAAATGAAAATTCAAATGGATATATATAAAGACATGAACCTCTTTTGTAATGAGACAGAAATCTCTGAGTAAAAGAAAGATCTGCAAGTGATGATGGCTTTATAAATAGACAAAATAAGGGAGAACTGTTTTAGTATTTTATTTTACAGATTGAATCAGAAAAACACAGCTCAGGAACACCAGTAAGAAAACACTACAAGGAGTGAGAGCAATAAAATGGAAATTAATAAACAGACACAAAAGTAAAAAGTAAATGTAAATAAAACATATTGACATTATAAAACTTTCTAAACACTTTTTGAAAAAAGAAATGAAATTTAACTGTTTTATTACAAACTTAAATATATTTAACCGACAAAAAAAGTTTTAAAAGTGATAATTAGCAAAACAATACTTTACCTTGAAAATAACATTTCAAATGTTTATTCTTAGAATTTAACTTAGTAACAGACCAATAAGAAGAATTTTAAAAGATAACATAAACTTAATTTTAAATTAATGATAAAAACCATACAAAACTTTTTTCAATTATTCTTATTTTGGCATAAAATGATGACATTTTTACAAGTTCATTTAAAAAATGCCTTTTTATTTGACAAGATGATTAAAAGCTCTTTTTAAAAGTAATTTAATATCATATCATTGTTCCAAAAGAAAAATGTTATAAATGTTTAAAAAACATTTATTAATTCCAGACCAAATTTTTTAATGAGTTAATTTTTGTAAATTTACTTTAACTATTATTATGAACTTTTACGTTATAAAAATTCATAATAATAGTTATGATTAACTAACAAAATTGGATAATTAATTATAGTAGAAATTAATAAAGAATTGACTATATAAACAATATAGTCAATTCTTGTAATTATTGTATATTTGATTAAAAAAAGTTACCTTAGCTGGCAATGATTTTTCAACATCTTTTTTAACTCTTCTCAACAGAAATGGCTCTAACTGTTTATGCAATTTTGTATATCCTTTGTCAACTGTTTCTTTATGTTCAATTTCAAAATCTTCCCAAGAACCAAATCTAATGATATAAATTTTATATATTTGATAATGTGTTTTTGTGGTTGAAAAGCTATATAACTAAAACAAACCATAATTGAAACATTAAAACTTATTTTCACAGCTGAATTAAAATTTATTTTTATATTAAAATTAAATATTTAAAGTACAGTACAATCTTGGTAATTTGTAATTCAACATATACAGAATAGCAAGCAATGAAAACGAACAAGAAACAATAAATAAATTTGACAGCCTACAAACATTAATGATGCAGAAAAACATAAGTTGGATTACCAATCAAAATATCTGAGCATACTGTCATTGCCAATAATCATGTTACTAAATTAATGAATAACCACTAAATTTTGTGAAAAATTGAAGTGACTACGGAAAATTTATCAGAAGATACCATATTTTTGACGACCTAATTTTTATATTTATACAGTATTGTGTTATACTTGTTTGAGCATCTTAAAATACAAGCCTAACAATCTTTAATATTGTGTCCAAGCTCAGACTCAATATCATGTGATGTTTAATAAGAATTGAAGTTTGAATTAGTGGAAAGTTTATCTATGATTTGGCAACAGTGCCATTAATCACCAAGAGTCAAATAGTGATAGATTACTGGACATATCAAACTAACAAAGTTATCAAGATTATACTATACAAAAATATAATTTTTAGTAGTTAGTCTTTATATATACATAAAACACCAAAAAATATTAAACACAAATATTTACTTATTTGGCATTATAAAATGTAATAAAGCCCATAGCTCCTTTAATGAATTTTGTAAAGGTGTTCCAGTAATAAGTAATCGATGATTTGTGTCAAATTCAAATAATGATTTATATAATAAGGAGTCATCATTTTTTAAGCGATGTGCTTCGTCCACTCCTAAAACTGCCCAACTAACATTGTTTAAAAATGTCTGAAAAATATGAATTTAAATTGCAAAATTAATATTATCTTTAAATAGAATAAAATTACATTATTATTATTATTATTATGCTAATAAATATTAATAATTATTCATATGAAATAAATAAATGCAGATAGAGAAATAATATTTTTTACATAAACTTAATATAAACATTTTCTAAACTAATTATAAAAAATAATAAGTAATTCAAGTTAATTTATTTATGTCTTTATTATTTATGTCATGATTATTTATGTACCATTATTGAAAATGAACCTAACATAGATTAAATTATTGTGATTTATTAATATTTTGATTAATTAGCATTAAAATTTCTAATACTATTTTCTACATAAACGTGAAGAAAAAAATTCGTAATGACCAACTATATTACAAAATGACCAAATTTCTGAAAGATTCCAAACCGAATAATGTTTATATGAAGTTTAATAATATCCAGACAAAATACTCAATCTCAATATCAAACAGTATTAATAATTCAAAAAAAAAATTTTTTAAACAATTAATCAATTTATCACAAATCATTTTAATGTATATCACAGCACTGTTACAAAGTATTTAGAATTTAAATTCTTTAGTGAGAATTTTATGTAAATTTCAATTATTTTTTATTAACTTTTTTTATGTCAAAGTATATAATTAAAAATAAAATATTTTCATAGTCAGGTCAAGGAATAAAAAATGGACTCTGTGCATTAATTGAAAACATGGGTATTAGAATGACCACAACAATCATTTTGATTGCTGTTCAATTTTACTTACTCGCCCAGTTAAGTTTGTCACAGGAAGCAGAAATTTTTGGTTTTCCTAATTTTGAATGTTTTGCATTACCATTGAATTTTATCTTGATAAAATCAAGAGGCCCCAAAATTAAGGTTTTCTACTTACAACTGCGGAAAGCAATCATTTTGATCCCTGATTTATACCATTGTTTTATTTTTTCAACTTTGCTATGTGTGTCTATTTATGACTTATGAAAATTAATATTTCTATATGAATGTTTCTAATATTCTTGTTTGCATTTTCTGCATCTTTTGTTAGAACAAATTTTTGCTTCAGTCTTGTTATTCATGTAGTGTGCACAAAAATTAATGATAGATATTTTTATCATCTGTTTACTGGAGATGAAATTACAAATATATCAGTAAATATTTCGGAGAGTGAATCAAAAGGTGAAATACAAATTACATTCATAATCTGTCATAGTAATAATGAATCTCATCATTAGATTTCACATAATCAACTACTCTTGAACGAACTAGAATTAACCTCTCTACAATGGGGTATAATATATAATTTACTATATTTTTTTGAGTATACTAATTCTTACTGGTATAAAAGATACATGAAATATTTTGTTATAAAATAATTATATGTGATAATCTTTGGAATAATATTATCACTATCATTGCTTGTTTTTTAGACACTAAAAAAAAAAAACTACTTTTATATATGCACAGATAATGTTTGTGTTAGGCAGCAAAAAAAATTTACATGGAGTAGTTTTCAGTGCTTAATTTTTTTTATTAAACAGAATGTATGTAGTTCCTCCAATTTGAGGGGGAAACCCCAACTTATAAAACTGTCCCTTAAAATTATATAATATTCTAGAATGTTATTTTTGGTACAACTATGATATAAAACTAATTTCAAGTTGTAAAAAGCATATTCTGAAATAGTAGTCATTTTGACTACTGTCAGTAGTTCTAGGTATACAGAGTTTTGGAATTCTAGTGTTAAATGGAGGACAAAAAACACTAATAAAAATTTATTTTCTTTCAGCATCTCAAATGGCACAACACCAATTCTGAAATAAGTTAAGATATCTTATAGCAACAAAATATCCTATTAATGTTGTCATCAACCTGCTTAGAGGAAAAATACTGCTTATGTTATTCATTTGTTTCTTAATTAAGAATAATTAACAGAAGAATAATTATTAAAAAATAAATAAATAAAGTAAATTTTATTTTATAAAAAAATCTATAATAAATTAATAAATAATTATTAGAATGGAAACTGGAGTTGCTGAATATCTGTCAGTTGAAACTGTCACATGTTGTTTATTTAATTGCATTTATATTTTGCTAATAGTTGAATGTTAACATTTTTAAATTTCTTGTTTGAAAGTATTAAATATTTTTATATAACATGTATTATTTGCTGCTTCTTTTTTTTTGTATGATTCTTTTGTAATGTATTTCAATTTAAATCCATTATTTTTTATATACTATTACTCTCAGGGATAACTATTTGATTTTTTAAATTATCACATACATTTAAACATATATTTTTATATATTTTTTAATATATTAGAATATTAAAAAAATATATGAATATTTTGACTTTTATTTTTTGTTC